TCCCTATCTGTGATCATCTCTCGGCCTCCTCTGATATTGAATTCTGAAACGGCGTGGGCGGTATTCCTCATCACTGATATCTTCCATGTGGAACGGATTTAGATTCTCCTCTCTATGGTTAATATCAAGACTCCAACAGGATTGAAAAAAACACAACAAACATCAAAAACCGGCTAGGTCCAGGGAATGGTATCCGAGGGAAGAGGCATCAGATGGGTAGTAGGCGGTGGGTTAGGCTAAAAGGTGGAGGTGGGTGGGTGAAATAGGAGAAGTTGAGCTAGTGGTTGACAGATGTGAATCCTATGGTTGGAGGGGAGGGGGTAAGGGGGGTAGATTCTTGAATGGTTGTGAGTGGCAAAGAGAAGGCTGCAGGATGGTTGGAATATGAGATGTGGGAAAGGAGATAGAGTTGGCGGCTAGGAGCAAGGGGAAGAAAGGAGGGGAGCCTGCAATTAGATAAGCCAGCAGGCAGGTGGTTGGGGAAGTGCTAGTCGTCAGATGTAAACTGGTAGGAGAAGCACTAGGAGGGAACCAAAGGGGAATAATTGCCACATTGAAGCAGAATACAGCCATAGCACTACTTGTCCTCATATACAACTTGACAATGAGAAAAGAAGCCTATAGGCAGCAATCTGAAAACATAACATAACCTAACACTAAACTCAGCAAACACATATTAATAGAAAATATATAGGCGAGAAACAAAAAGGATGGGGGAAACTTGGGGCGGTAAGTACCGCCCAAAGGAAGTAGTCGGTCCAGCCACCTGCCGGACTTGAACCTTTGGCCGGTTTAGCCCAGCAAGGTCCCGCATTAGTTGCTTATGAAGCTAACCGCCCAGGCATCACCATCAATGTTACTTGGATAAAAAAGCTAAAGTTGCACCCTCAAAAGGGCTTGTTTTGGTAGAGGATGTGTCACGATGCCATTCCCACTAGGAGATGGCTTACTCTATAGGGTCTAACAGATTAAGGGTCTGTTTGGGGCAGCTGCAGCTTATCCAGCTTATGCTGATAAACTGCTAATCTAGATAAATTGTTGATCACCAGCTGATCCGGATAAGCTGGCTGGTTGTTTGGTTGTCCATTTAGAAAATAACTAATTTGCAGTTGTTTCTGGATAAATAACCATTCTACCCCTGATTTGGATAAACTGTATAGCTGTTTGGTATTTGCGTTTAGAAAACAGCTGATTTGTTGTTGTTTCTAGATAAATGATCATTTTTTTCCCTTCAATTTTTTAATTAAGCATGACAAACCAGATAATTGATCATATGATTCTAACAACTATACAAATGAACGCACCATCTTAAACCAAAAATTTTACATAAATCACAAAAGTTTCCAATTTTTTTCTTAATACTTTTTTTTTTCTATGCTTCTTCAAACGAACCAATACCAATGGATAAAAAATCAAGAAAACATATTTCTCTCTACACAAAAGCTAAAATTTGAGCATGCAGTTGCACTTTTTCCTCTCCCAAAATATGGCTGAACCAAATCCTAAATTGGTGCAATAGTCAGGATTTCTCTTCCAGAAGGCTGATTAAATCGAAGGGGCTGCATCATATATTCTGGTTCACGCAAGGAAGTTTTGGCAATGTGGCGTAAATAATATTTTATAATGAATTGGTCACATTGAAAAGATGGCCAATAAGACGTTTCTTGATTTAAAACTGCGGTTTTATCACAGAACTTCCATTTTTCTGCAAAACTAAAATCATTGATATAAAGTTCTTTTATAGTTGTGAATCCTATGATTTTGGATCGAAGGGAAATAAGGGAGCATTGTTGACTAAAAGCATCTGCAGCCATATGATGAAAAAATGAAACAAATTTAACCCAGTTAGCATGTATTCCCTTAAATTTATTTTAACTGTTAAGTTATTTTTAAGCTTCATGGTCCAATTATAAAATAAATTCATTGGATAATAAAAAATAATTTTGGTGTTATAAATCATAGATGGTTGTGTAAATTTTTTCCTCATAATTTGAGTATTTGCATTGTTGTTCATTCAATTTTTTACTGAAATAAGGAATTGGAGTTAGGCAGAGTAAATTTAAGGCTAACCGGTTACATAATGTAAAACACATGTGAGGTAAAAATCCCCTAAGAGCACTTGCAAGGTAAGATATCGTCAATACCACCACAACATTTCCCATGAATATTTGCATTGTTGTTCATTCAATTTTTTACTGAAATAAGGAATTGGAGTTAGGCAGAGTAAATTTAAGGCTAACCGGTTACATAATGTAAAACACATGTGAGGTAAAAATCCCCTAAGAGCACTTGCAAGGTAAGATATCGTCAAATATACCACCACAACATTTCCCATGAATAGAAATAGTAAGAATTTTCCCTTGCCTTGGGGCTTTGATGCTTCACAGAAAAGAACCCAACAACCCAAAGCAAAAACATGGATGCTAAAATTCAGAATACATGCTTGCTTTGGGGTTTATAATTAAAATAAAGCTACATCTCAAAATGAACTCACAGAAAAGAACCCATCTTTTGTTTAAAGTTTATACATAGAAACTTGTATAAAATTTTAGCTAAGATCAACCCTCCCCTTATTTTATCAAAACACAAAGCGAGAATAGTAAGAGCTGCAGCTTCGGAAAAGTGATTTCTAAACTGGGACTTGGGATGCCTAAGAAAGATTGTTTGATAAATTAACTTTAATAACACTCCAAGCTAATATTACCTCCTAGGCAGTAACCACTTAAACCTTTCAGCCATAACAGCTATAAAATGACTTCAAAAAATAACAATAACAGCAGTTCATGGAATATTCAAACTTTGGAAGGCAGAGAAGAATTTAAACAAGGAATAAAGCGAGAGGAGGTGCAACAAAGACCTTTAGGAGGGTGGATTTGCCACAGCCGCTAAGGACAAGAAGCATCCAGAGATGCCCCGCGGGAACACAAAGTGAACAGTTCTTCAGAATTGGAAACTCAGCTCTGTGCTTAGACACCACAGAGAAGCTCAAGCAACTTCCCTTGATAGATATGGCAGGGGATTTGGTATCGAGGAGACTGTCATCTCCAACCCCGAGTCGGAATTGCCTGCAAATCAAAGAGCTAAGACGACCTAAGAAGAGTGAGAGAGAGAGAGAGAAGCACTGATATTGTTCTAAACTTGAAGCTGCAAGCGCCGCGGCGCCACCTGGGGAGTAGAAAAGCACCGCTGACATCGCCAAATCGGGAAGAAATTTGCCTCGAAGGGTTGGGCGAAGAATCAGAAGAGGGAAATTTGACACTCCATCATAGGACTTGTAATTCAAGCAGCGAGTTTCGCATGAAGTTATTTTCAGGGAGGGAAATGTGCCGTTGGTATGCTCGACAGGGAAAAAAATATCGAGAAGTTGGTCGATGCCTGAGTCCGCCATTAACGAGAACGAGATTCGGATCACCTCTCGTGGTTTCATCCGCGATCGGCTTCAGGTAGGGACAGACGAGAAGAGGAGCTGGGTGGTTCCGTGAGCAAGCGAGGGCACATGCGTAAAATAAGGGAACAAACGCGGATAGTGAACGCGGACGCAGGGGTTATCCCGCGATCGGCTTCTTATTAAAAACACAAAACGCAATTTTGAGATAATCGCCCAAAACACGCGAAACAAACAATGAGACGGTGTTTTCAAAACGCCGCCCGTACTTATAAGCTGCCCCAAACGAGCCCTACGTGGATTGCCCTTGGGGAAGCATGGAGGTGGAAGATAGAGACCACATTATCACTAATTGTATTGTTTATGAATGATTAAAGATATCATGGCAAGCTGGGAATTGCTACAACTTCCAGGATGCAATGAATAAGCTAAGCAAGGCGCCGAGGAGTGGAGTTACACAAGCCAGATGCTATTGTTACATTGTCCACCATTGTTGGAGGGCTCGTAATGCTAAATCCCACAACAAAGTCAATGGCTCGCCGAAAATCATTGCCGCAAATATTCTTGAAGCACTTACCAAGACATCGCTTGATCCATTTCGTGAGCTATGAGATGCTAGCCGACCCGTTGGGTTAGTCCCTTCTACCTTTTCCTGGCATCCTCCCTCTCCCAGATGGCTCAAATTAAATGTCAATGGTGCTCTTCTTCCTTCCAGATGGTCGACACCAGCATTATCATTAATGATGAGCGGGGAATCTGAAAGGTTGCTACCATACACCATTTTGAACAATGAGATAGTGCCCAAGTTGTGTTTCAAGCCATCAAATCCATACAAGAAATTTGCAAAACAATGGATACTTGAATGCAAGGGCATTATCGTCGATGGGGACAACACCAACATGACGCATTTCTTGAGGTCTACCATGAAGAGGGACGTTTGGCGTCAACGAGCACATGAAGCCCGGAACTTAGCTTTTCTTTTGAATTTCAAGCAAGTTTTGTCTTTTCATATGCCCAGAGAATGTAATAGGGTGGCTCATTTTTGTGCTAAGCGAGCCCTTTCTTGCCTTTTGTTTGATGCATGTAGATGATGAGATTCCTATTTCTTCTATATTTGTAGATGATAGATCACATTTTTTTACATGATAGGTGCATACATATAAATTTTTTGTAACTTTTGAAATTATTAATCCAAAATGGAATATTTCAAAGAAAGTTCTCTCTAGTTGTTCGGAAAGATAATTAACCATAAGAGTTACAGCCGTGGGAAACTTAAGGCAAGGAAATAAATTTCTTACAAAATAAGGTTAAAAATATCTAGATAATACATTATCTATAATCTAATATCTACCTACTGAAAATTTTACTCCCTCCTACAATAATCGAGCACAAGCACAAAACTTTCAAGCCCACAAATCCCGTAAACGTTGAACCATTGATAAAACATGGTAATTAAATTGGCGTACAAAAACATTACAAGTTAATGCTTCCAATGCATGACCTCAAATAAAGTAAAGATTTCAGGAAGTAAACTTTTTCTTAAATAGTAATGGGTGATAAATGCATATAATAATAAAATTTTCAAATAGGGGGAGAGAGAAAATTTTGAAACTACCATAACAGGGAAAGCATCAATTGTTTGAATAACTGTTCTCATCAAAAGCAGAGGAAGAGGAACTTTATCAACCTAAAAAAGAAAAAACAGATGTCGTGATTGAAGCAGTCATCTCATTCTAAAACTAAATAAATAGTTGAGAATCTACGCATACCAAACTGTTCAAGGATTTTTCTAAAACTTGCTGGGTGAAAACTGTTCGCTGCTCAAAACAAGCCGTGCAAGCATCCGTTATCTGGAGGCATAAAATTTATGCCGAGCCAAGTTTAGCTTTGTTCGGTACTATTCTAATTTTCATTTTAACTACAAATCTGACAACAAACCTTCTTTAAAGCAACTCCATCCTTATCAGGATTGATGTCATGAATTGCATTCAATACTTCAACTGGGGTTAAAGCCGGGCCTGTATGTGCTGAACCCTGTAACACAGAAAATGATAAATTCATGATTTCTCAATATAATGTTAACCATTTCAAACAGTTTTTTTCTTCATAAGATGGTCAAATTTAAAAAATATTACTGAATATACAATAAAAGAAAGACAGAGAAAAAAAAACATGTTTTAACTTGCCAAATAGATTTGATACAAGTTCATCAGTTGACTCACAAAAATTGTGAGAGGCAAATTAATAGGGTGAAAAATAGTAGGGTTAGAGGCATTAATCAAATCAAAACTAACTAATTACCTGGTTTGATCTGTAAAATCCAACAATAGTCTTGGAAATGTTTAAAAGATGCAGCCTTATTTTTACATAAAAAGAACTACAACTTATCTTTAAGAAAAAAAAAATGAAAACGCTCTGGATTGATATAATCAACCTTCCCTACTTTTGGTTCAACAATGCTAAAAAAAAAAAAAACTTCTCAGGGTTACTTTCATTTGTTTACATAAAAAAAATAATGAGATATTGGCTCCATTCATTATTATCATCTAAATTGTAAAAAAAATGTCTGCATTCGGTAGAATGTTTCCAGAAGAGTAAGCACGAGAAGTTAGTAAATTATCACTAGCTCATCCTTGCTTTGAAAAAAAAGAATTCTAAAAAGAATTAAGAGCTGTATCTTCTATTTTTATTACATCGAATCATGTTGCATTGCATTTTCAATGGAGACCTGGACTTTGACAAATAAAAATAGACACGGTTTCCATAAAGTAAAAAATCCTTAATTTTCCTATAACCGTCCCTAAGTTACTCACCAGGAATTATCATATTAATCTAATTGTACCATACGAGTTCTAAGGATTTTCTCAGAAAACAAATCATCCCCTTTTCAAATAATTCCTACTAGGTAGAAGAAAACGGGTATTTCATTAAAAAACTATTTATCTTGTGATATTTAGAAATTAGATGGTTAAACACCAATAATTTAGGTAAACTGAATTTCGATGCACCCATCACCCTAAGCTTCAAAGATAAATCCTCTCCAGGATAATAGAAGATAGTGAACCATGACCATTTTCAAGTCCTTTAATGTGTAGTAAAAATATAGTCTTCTGTGTTGTGTTTTATTAACTTTTATGTTAACTTTATGCTTGTGAAAAATGTACTTGTTGTTATATGCAACAAATAGGTTGGAAGATCCCTTGGAGAATATCATGTCTTGTCTAGTTTAGTGACGAGACATGATATTCATTTACTATGTATTATTTTCTCCCCTGAATTAAGATCTAGGAAATTAAAATGAAATCCATGATTTGTAAATCATAATATCTTAATTTGCATATTGATATGTTAACTTTTTGTGCTTAATTTACTTCCTAATTAGACAATTGAAAAGTTAAAATGGGTTGTGGCTAGTATTACATAAATAGACTAATGGAACGATTAAGTTATCATACACCGTTTTAGAAGAATAGGAATATAACTGCTAGAATAGTACAATCACATTGGTTTAGGGAACTAAAATATAATATGAAGCTCCAAAACTTTTTATGACCTTGGAAGAGGTTAATGAGTATTGATGTTCTTGATTGTCAACAACATTAGATTCAATTAGGCAAGTCTGAATTTCTTAGGTCCAATTTAGATAAGATTCTCTCACGAAAACCTTCCTCTTCAATTTAGTTTACTATTTTGAAAAATTAGGATGAGTCACTTTAAAAATTCACAAAAAATTCAACACTTCAAGCTATAGCCTTAGGACTCATAAACTAGAAATTTCACATAGCTTGAAAATAAACAAGTTCCCAATGGCGAAATTTCACATAGCTTGAAAATAAACAAGTTCCCATAAAAGTTCCCAATGGGAACGATGCACAGACTCAAAAATCTGTTTATTATTTGAGTGATACATATACTAGTGTATTTGGCGTGACATCATTTTTCTCATCTCATGATTTTTTATGGCCTAACTTTTTTTTTCTTTTTGTTTATAATGCTATAAGAAAGCTCTGCTATTGTCAGATCCTAAGTTTTAGATGCAAAAAGTGAAGGTTTTCAATACGTAGTTGACAGTCAGTGTAATAATTTGTCAAAAAATTATTACATGAATCTTTTAAATTATTGTCTCGATATTAGGGGTCATTGTATCAGGGCCCGAGAGTAGTGTTGAATAAATAATGATTCTCACATTATGGACGAATAAGTGCAAAGAAGTTAGTATATGAATTTAATATTTAGATAGAAATTTGAAATATAGATACTCACAGGTAATTAATAGAATTAGTAATATTATTACTCACAGAACAATATATATCTTATGCATTTCATAAATCAAATATATTGGAGAAAAGGCTGAATATATTGATAGCATTTATTTTGAACTTTTGTATTCAGATTGGAGTTATATTAGAAATAATGTTGGTATAGTTATAGATAAGAGTTTAAAAAATAATATTTTAAAAATTAACAAAATTAAAGATTTATGGCTCTAAAGATTATTGTTGATACAAAGATTTTTCATATCATAAGTGCTTATGCTCCCCAAGTAGGTTTGGACATGTACAAAAAATATATATATAATGACCCAAAAGAATTAATATAAATGATGTATCTTGAATAAAGAGATGAGCATATTATCATTTATAGAAATAAATATAATAAAACACAAATGGATAATTTTTTAATGAGAAAAATAGATCGTCGAGATTATAAAAATTGAAAGATCATTTCGCGTAAAAATTTAAATACTCAACATCGATTCTTGGTTTTGAATTTTAAGATGAAGGGTTAGAAGATGAAAAATATAGTAAAATATTATCATAGAATTATATGAGAGCACTTCAAAAATTAATATAATTATTTTTACAAATAACTTCAATATCATAAGATTTAAGATGTTTATGAAGTTAATAATATGTGAAATAAAGTAATGAGTACAATTAAACAAATTATTAAAACGTGATTGAAGAATCAAAAGAAAAAAATTTTATAAACAAAAAAATTAGTGGTGGTATTATAATGTTCAAGAAAAAAATAAGAAAAATAATAAGTTTTGTTATAAAAATCGGGTTAGAAGTATGGATTCATGTTAAGAAAATCTATTATGGAATATATACATTTATTGAAAGGTTTGATGGAAAAGTACACGGAGAGTAAGGAAGATCTACTAATAATTTTTGTTGATTTAGAAAAAACTTGTAATAAAGCTCCAAGAGAAATACTTTAATGGTTCTAAAAAAAAGGTATCAATATTGTTTATACTCACTTTATTAAAGATATGTATATTAGAGTTGTTACTTCGTATGCAAATAGAAAGATTGATCAAGTATTTTCCTATTTCAGTTGGATTACATTAGGGACGGCTTTAAGCCCATATTTTTTTTCTTTAGTTATGGAAATTCTTATCGGATATTTACAGGACTTTGTACCTTGGTGAATGCTTTTCGCTGATGATATCCTTCTTGTGGAAATAGTTCTGAAAAAAACTTGTATTGTGGAGGTCAAATTTAGAGTGTAAAGGCTTTAGTTTGAGTATATCTAAAATTGAATACATATAATGTAATTTACTGGTAGAACTAGTAGTGGGGTAGTAAAATAGGTGATCGAGTCATTAAAAGGAGTGAATGTTTTAGATATCTCAGGTCTAATGTTGAAAGTGATGGTGATATAGATGAGGATGTTATCAGTAGAATTCAAGTTGAATGGTTGAGCAGAGGAATGCATGGAGTTATTGTGCGATAAAAAAGTACCTCTTAGACTTAAACAAAAATTTTTATAAGATTGTAGTGAGGCCTATAATGCTTCATGTCAAGGAATGTTGGCCTATAAAAGAGAAGCATAAAATTAAATGTTACTGTGATGAGAATGATCAGGTTAGCTCCAACAACAAACAATATTAGAGAAAGTTGTCTTAGATGGCTAGTTCACATTAAATGTCGACCATCTTATGACCCAGTTAGGAGAGATGTTTTAAATTTGACTTTTGTTAAAAAAAGGTAGAGATAGACATGAAAAAGAATGAGGCATGTTGTATAAGAAATGGTCTTAATTTATTAGAATTAAATAAAAATATGACATTCAATAGGACACAATGGAAAGAAAAGATTCATGTAGCGGACTCCATTAGTAGGATAAGGGCATGTTGTTTTGTTGTTGTAGTAAAATGGAATAAGGATAATCACACCTCATCCATAAAAAAGAGTTTTGTTTCTTTATAAACAAAACATCCCACATATGGATAGAAAAATTTACTGGATTAACAAAATTTTGAGTTCTTTAGAAATTCTTACCCTGATGGTTGAGTCTTAACATTTCATTCTCCTTGGTTTAGGGATTCAACACTTTGCATTGAGGATTTGACAACAAAAGCTTGAAAAATTACTGGTAGTTATCTTTATTTTATTATTATTTTTTCCAATTTCAACCATTCTTCGCAACTTCGCTGCATACCCTGATCGCCAAGTTTCAAGGTTGATTATAAATCCACTACATCATACACATCACCCTTACAATCTTCATCATATATTAATTAGAAAAAATATCTTTGTACTGCATCCAAAACAAGAATATATAATGAATTCTATGAAACCTTAATGATGCTGGAGTTAACCCAAATCAGAACAAAAAAACAAATAGTATTACTAAAAGCAAATAAATGGTTACAACCAACACACATAAAAGAGAAAATTAAACACACACGACATGCATAATCATGTTAGGGCAGCTCTCGGGGGATGGTGGTGACAGTTAGAGAACTGGGTGAGGGTGTGGCAAAGTAGGGAAGGGGTTTTTCATGCTATAGTAGAAGAGCGACAACAATTATGAGTTGTCGAAATGGTCGGGAAGCAAGGGAAGACAGTCCAAACATCGGTGGTTTACTGTTTGGGTCGGTTGGACAGCGGGATAGCAACAAGAGGGAGGTGTTGCAGAGATGGTAGCAAGTTGGAATGAGTGGAACAGCTGGTCGAGTGGCTGAAAAAGTAGGAAATAGCCAAAACTGTTGTTTCCGAGCGGCAACAGTAAGCAGAAATGACAAC